GCCAACCTGCCTGCACGCTAGTAAGCATCATAGTCTCCCACCACCGCCACCACCTCTGGTGGTTAGGACTTCGGGAGAAGGAGCTGTGAGTAAATGCAACAATCCTTGTTGGAGGAGGTAAAGACCAAACGTCTGAGGTGTCTAAGTTGTCAAAGTTAGTGTTTATTTGCATCAGGCTTAATGTGTTTACAAGGCAAACGGCACCAAACGCGGTAATAAAATTGGGACGGTGGGGCGGGCTTGCAACGGTAGAGGAGGGACAATGGATATCGCTGACTCCGTTTTCTGTTTGCATTAGTAGTAACAGATACAAAGTATCATCTTCCTTGACCTACTTGGTACTGTATGCTTGCAACACTTAAGAAGAGCAGCACCAAAGCACTGGTTAATCCTAGCGCAATCGGATTATAAGATGGAATTACGTGGCGCAGAGGGACGCACTGCTGTGTCACTGATGCCAATTGCTCCAATCATTTAACCCTGTGTAGCCCTGACCACGAAGTAGTTAACATTTAGTAGCGGCTACAGAAACACTGAACAAGAGCGAAGAAACTGTTCAGGCTTTAGCGTAAGTGAAAATAAAGGCAAAGATAAAAGAATTTACAAGCACTTGTGGCATTTTACATGTCAGCAATTATTGGGACGAGATCTAGAGATATTTTGAGGCTTCCATGATAGCCTCTTGCAATACCTCGCCGGATGACTGTATATCACTGTCACTTTGCTATTCCTCACAAGGAAGAGAACCTTTCCTTGTGTGCTGTTTAACGAACTAACTTATTTCTTTGTAGAAAGATTTATCCACCAGAAACTGCTAAAATTAGAGCACCAAAACCATTTACTTGATATAAAGTCGGGACTAGCCAGTTGGTCAGCAGAAGACCCTATTCTACCAACTCAGCGCAAAGCCTGTTGACGTGGCACAACTCGAGGATGTAGGGCAGGAGGTACTGTTACAAACTTATTCCCATTCTTGACTTCAGGGTCCCTCTTGTGCTATACCTTCTTTTAGGTGATGACTGATGCATTTCAATGGCAACAAACATGCCAAACGTGCACGTCGAAATAGATGACTGATTGAAGATGTATTGATTGACGAAATCAAAATCAGCAGTAAATTATTATCTCCCTGAGAAACCAAGGGTAGACTGTAACAGCAGTTACTTGATATTGTGAATAGAAATCCATGTTCCCTTTGTTTGCATGTGTTAAGTTGTGTTTGTGCTTATGCCGCACCAAAGACTCCTTTATCCACCCAAATGCATAAATTTTAATCCGGTCTTCAATGAGTAAATTTCCAAATGACTAAAAGTATTACTTTATAGATCAAAACTAGGACGGTGAATTTTAGGGGAGAAAAAGAAAGATTTTGCTTACTATTTTGGTTTCAAGTGTTTTAGGTGCGTGTGTGTCTTATTTGTAAAAAGGAAAGTGGGTCTGGGCAGCAGTTTCTGCCCTATGAGTGCATAGAAGTCCCTTTATATAATTGTTCTTTTTAATTAAATACCACTTTTTCAGCTACGCATCTCAAGTGGAATGAATTGCATTGTTGGC